AGGGAGGGAGGGAGGGAGGGGGAAAATGAGCAGCTGATACCAAGGACTCAAGTAGAAAGAAAATGTTTTTAAAATGATGATGGCAACAAATATACAAATGTGCTTGACACAATGGATGGATGGATGGATTGTGATAAGAGTTGTACAAGCCCCCAATAAAATATTTTTTTAATTAAAAAGAAAAACTAAAAACAAAACCAAAGAAAATTCCACAAATGCTATTATTAAATTGTCAGAAGGCCAGTAGCACTTTAAATTTTCACGAAATTTTCATATGCATTTAATAAGTTGTATACTTGTCTGAAAAAGAACTTTGCACCTCACCGCCAAGGTATGCACCATTGGTGGGAGAGTGGGCGGTATGGATTCACTGAAGTGAAATTATTTAAAAGGAACTTACATAATGTCAAAATTTCTCACTTTTGGCAGTTCAGAGAACTGAGATTCAGTGACATTAAATGATGTAGCCCAGCTAACCAAACCAACTGTGGGAAAATGGGGACATGGACTCCTGCCTTCTGACTGCAGGGCAGTGGATTCTGTGGACTGAGCAGTAGGAGACACAGCCCGTCCTGCAGCCACTGCTATCCTGCACACTTTTGCTCCAGTCTTGGCTATAGAAGTCAGTGGGGCTCAGGCACAAGAACTGTGTTATTGACCAGCAATCAAAGATCCATAATTTACCAGAGGCAATAGAAATGTGAGCCATGCACATGGTTGAGTTTTTAATATATCATTTCATCTAGCCTAAGAATTTGTCATTCTTATTCCTATTTTGCCAATGAGGAAACTGAGCCTTTGAGACAACAAGTAAGTTGTCTAAGGTTACCTGTATCTGGGAAGCAGCGTAGCCAGAATTCAGTATCAGAGATGCTGTTACCAACCCAAACTCCATAATTACAGTGTAACTACTTGAAGGTTTATTGACCGCACTTGTACAAGAGGGCTTTCAAAAAGCTTGTGGAATTAAAGGATAATGAATTTTTTCCATGAACTTTGTGAAGTCCCCTGAAATATATTGCCCCTCCTTTTTTAACAAGACAGAAATACTTATGTTCTCCTTTGTAGATATACTTCGCCAACACAGCTCTGACGTGCATCGAGAGAGCTAACACGGACGGCTCACAGAGAGAAAGGCTTATTGAGGACGCAGTAGATAAGACCGAAGGTCTTGCAATTGACTGGATTAACCGTCAGTTCTACTGGACAGACAGAGGGTATGTGTGCTCCTTCCGTGTTAAGCCCTGTGGCATGGGAGTGATGAGATAGGTCATTCCACTGGCTTGACTACCTACTCCAAACTCAGGAAAGTGTTCTGGGCCTTGGCTGGGTTTGAAGGAAAGGTGTCCCCATGGCTGTACACCTTTGCCCTGGGTGCATGCAGGACATGGCTTCCTTCATCACGATCGGATCTGAATCGACTGGGGATTGTAAAGGACCAAGAAAGTAACATGTGTGTTTGAAGTTTGGGCTGCCTCCATCAGAGCAAACCAAAAAGGGGCTGGATTTACACAGCACTTGCTATGGCTAAGGCGCTTTCCTAGTCACCTGGGGAGTACGCAGTGACACTGCAAAGCAGCCTGCTCTGTGGTCAGCATTCCATCCTTTTGGCTGGGCAGAGGAGGCATCTGTACATAGGGAAAATGCGTAAAAAGGCAATGGCTTGAATGCCAATCCAAGAAATGCCGTGGGGCCAGATGAAGGGTGCACACTCCCGGGGAACGTCCGGTACCAGCTAGCACAATCTTTGGTTTCATAGATGAGGAAACTACAGGTCAGAGAGACCAAGTGATTTGTGCAAGGTTTACGCAGTAAGGAAGTAATGCATCTCTGACTGGCCTGGTTGCTCTGTGAGCCTGGAAGAGAGCGAGCGAGCAAGAGTCCATGCTACAGTTCAGAGAAGAGTCTTTGTGAGGAGCCAGCTGGGGTCAGTGAACGAACATTGCCAGTTTCTGTCTGCTCAGGAAACCATTCATGAGGCTTCCTGTACAACTTTGGGTAGGTGCACTGGTGTGGGGGTGTGTGGCCTGTGTAAGACTTTCCCAGTCCCTTGGGAGGGTTGGGTAAGTCTGAGGAGAGTGTTGGAAGTGACTGGTCTCCTTCTGTGTGCTAATGATCGCCTGCTCCCTTGCTTCTGAAGGAAAGCAAGCTCTCTACCGAGTACCTCGGATGATAGGATTAGAGACACTGGGCATGCTGGGAAATTTTCTCATGGTCACTTAAAGCTGAATAGTAAAGTGGTAGTCAACCTGAACATCTTGTGCCTATGTAACCATATTAAAATAAAAGGAGAGGATTCGTGAGGGGTTCACCCCTGTGAAATCAAAAATCTTAACACAGTGGGAGAAACCCAAGGGGACCCACTTATATGCCTGAAGGCAGGCTTTCTGTACCCCACATGCCCCCCCAAAAAAATCTCTTTGGGTTTAGGTCACCCATGGAAAACAACCTGGGTTTCTGAATATGAACCAGATGTATGTCATGATTTCCAGGGGTCAGCCATATTCGACTTCTCTATTCAGGGTGAGGTTAACTCTACTCATTCACTCAAATATCTCTTTGATGTTTTGTTCTTTAGGTATTTATCTACTGAATGAATAAATTATGATAGACACTGGAGCAAAAGCTGTATTCCATGATATTTTAGAAGCCAAAAGAGACTCTGTGAAGGTTAAGTTTTCCTGTTCCCAATTTACAGATTAAAAAATTGAGGCTCAATTTTTTTTAAAAAATAGAAGCTCAAAGAGGTATAATAGCTTTCCTATGGACAAGCAACCAACAAAGGCTGAATCTGGAATTTGAACTCAAAGATGACTATTTCTAAAGCTTAGACATGGCATAATCAGAGGTATGAACTGTCCCTCCCAACTCGATATGATTCAAATAGGTTTGACCCAGAATGCTATAATTTATTGAAATGAACTTCAGTTGTCATAATGATGAAAAATCATAATAATGGTTTCCTCGGTGTTGAACTGACTTTAAAGGACTTTAGAATGTCAGTTCTGTGCAATGAGAGAGCGTGAGCATGGCTGTTCTCAGGAGAGTAAGCATTCACCAGGAGAGCAGATGTCAAGCTTCGCGACTGGGTCTCTAAGGGTGCCGTCGCTCCTCATATTCCCCGTCCTCACATGCCCCTCTCATTTTTAACAGGGGTCGATGACTGGCACCGTGGAACCTACCTGGGGGTGGTGCCTTCAGACACAGACAGGTCTGGAGAACCAGACCTCAATTTCCCTAGTTCACAGGCTTCCTTAATGACGAGCCTTTCCTAACTCCTCTTCCCCCTAAAGGCAGCTGCTAAAAGAAAACCTTTCATTTGTCTGGAAACGAGTGGTTTATAGCCAAAAAACCTTGATATTTACTAGCAAATGAATTTAAATAACTTAAATTTCAATCTAGGGATATTATATCACAATTATTTAATTGGGAAATCTTAACCAATGATAAGAGCCAGAGTGGATGGTTATAGTCTATACTGGCTTAGGAAAAGACAGATTCAAATTAACATGTAACAATGGTAAAGGAACTAATTAAGAATTCCACTGGTGGTATTATTATTCAGGATTAAAGAATTCTGATTTCGAAAACCATATGTCCAATTGTTTGTTTTTCTAAAAAAGGCAAAGAGGGTGAAACACACATTGGCAGACATGTCTTCCTAGGTACCTTTGGATAGAGTCCAACTGCCAACCTTGCATGTGGTAGTCAAGTACTCAGCCAAGAAGGAATTAGGTGGAATATTTTCTCTTACTATCAGGGAAGGTGTATGTCGGGGTTGTATTCTTGCCATTTTCATTCTGAATGCTGAGCAAATAAATTCGAGCAGCTTGGCTAGATGGAGAAGCATGTGGCATCAAGACTGGAGGATATGCAGATACCACCACCTGGCTTGCTGAGATGTAGGAAGACTTAAAGCACTTGCTGAGGAAAATCAGAGACAGCAGTCTTCAGTACAGACCACAACTCAAAGAAAACACAATCCTCACAAATTGGCCAACAGATGGCATCATGGCAGACAGACAGGATTGGCGTTATCAAGGATTTCATGGTGTTTGGATCCATAATCAAGGCTATTAGAAACAGCAGTCAAGAAATCAAACTGTGTTGCGTTGGGAAAAGCTCCACAAGTCATCGCTTAAGAATTAAAAAGTAAAGCTGTCACCTTGAAGACTACGGTGCAGGTGAACCCACGCCATGGCCTTTTCAGTCCATGTGAAAACTAGACAAAACATGAGAAGACTGGAAAAGAATTGGTGCATTTGAATGATGGTGCTGGTGAAGAATCTGGAAAAGATCATGGACTGCCAAAAGAACTAATGAATATGTCTGCAAAGATGTAGCCACACTGCTACTTGGAAGCAAGGGTTAAAAGACCTGGTCTCGTGTACTTTGGACATGTTAGCAGCAGAGACTAGTCTCTAGAGAGGAACATCATGCTTTGTAAAGGGTCAGCAAAAAAGAGGAAGATGGTTTTGCACAGTGGCTGCAATCATGGGCTCAAACATAACTGTGAGGATGGTGCAGGACCAGGTGTATTTCATTCTGTTGTAGACATTGCCTCTATGGGTGAAAATGGGCTCCATGGCACCTACCAACGTTTTCCCTGAGAGGACCCTAACAGCATTGGGACCAATTAGGTAGCAGATACAAAGACAAGAGTGCTGTTCTAGAGGATTAAGCGTGATGCTCAAACTAGTGGTTATGTAAATTCCAGGAATCCTGTCTTGAGAAAATTCCACCACCATTCTCAATGGTCATTACATCATTTCTGCTCCCAAGCAGCAAGAATCTAAAGATGCTATAATGGTGAGATATCCCAACTGACAGCTTCATCCCTCCTGGTCCCAGGCAAGTAGACCAAAGGATGCCTCTAAATTCTTTCCCTTTCATCAAGGGAAGGGGTACTGTGGCCGTTGTAGCTGAGAGAAGATTGAATTTGACGCAGTGATTCCAAAAATATCTTGTACCCAGCAGGATTGAAATAAAGTTGTCTTTGAAAGCGATACTAAATCTCAAAGTTGCGACTGCTCCCAGTGGGTGGTTAGCAAAGCATGGAGGACCCAGCCTAGCCTCTGCTCTGGTTTTCACATGGTTCCCTTCCTGCATGCAGTCCGAGAGGAGGAATCTTATAGAGCCTGTTCCCCAACCAAGCACTCTGTATGGGACAAATGTTTTTGGCCTCAACTACTAACGTAAAGGTTAGTGGTTCAATCCTATTCAGTGACACAGTGGAAGGAGGCCTGACATTCAGTCGCATTCTCTCTCATGCCCACCAGGTGATGAGTGTCTAAGAACACATCAACATACAACCATCATTGAAATACAAATGCAACCTTACCACAATGCTTCAGAGATAAAAGACCATTTCAGTTCATATGAAGCAATGAGACTGAGTGGCTCAAACAAGTGACCAAAATGCAGAGCTGACAACCCCTTTGAGGGAAGAAATGTCATTGTAACTACCTAATAACGAATTCAAAAAAGAATGTTATGTGGGTACTTTCAATGGATTGAAAGAGCTAACTCACAAGATAAGTAAAAGATTAGAAGCCACACGAAAAAAGCAAATAGAAATCCAGAAAATTAATACGAAGACTTCAGAAATAGATGATATAGCTAAAATGGTAAAAGAGGGAAAAAAAATGGTAAAAGAGTGAAATTGACTGGATGGAAGACCAGATTAAGGAGCTTAAAGACAAATCTCCCCTTACAAATCTGTTGGGAACACTTAGAGAACATCATCAAAGAATTGAAGAAAGCCTAAGAATTATGTGGGCCACCATCAAGAGGAATAATTTACATGTGATCAAAAGTCCAGAATAGGAAAAGAACAAAGAAAATTGTCGAAGTATTGGTGGGAGAAAACTTCCCAAACATCACAGAAGACAAGAAGACATGCAGTCAAGAAGCTGAACGAATCCCTAACAGGCTTGATCCCAAGAAAGGTCACCAAGATATGAAGCAAAATCAAACTTTTGAAAACAAAAGGCCTAGAGAGAATACTGAAAGCAGCTCAGGACAAAAACAAACAAACAAGAACTTACCTACAGAGGAGAACCCCAAAAACCACCTTTGACCTCTCAGCAGAAAACATGGGAAGGAGGTAAGAAGACAATGAGTTGTCCTATATCAAACTCTGAAACAAAATAAATGCCAGCCAGGAATCATATGCCCAGATTGTCCCTTAAATATGATAGTGGGATTGGAATATGTCATAAAACCAGAAATGAAAGGATTTTGTAAAAAAAAAACAACAGACCAACCTTATAAGAAATACTGAAGGAAATTTTTGGCGGGGACAGAAAACCAACAATACCAGAGAGCCACCTGAGATGCAAATACATGACATCACCACCCACAAGTCAACCCAAACATGGAAGTATCTAAAGTAAAATTAAACAAAGGAAAAGCCTACAACACTGAAAATTGGGAACTGGAGATACCAGTTTGTAATGAGAACAATGACTAAGTACAGTTAAGAAATCATGTAGCTACAGATCTTCCAAATGGTGAAAAAAGATTAGTAGCTATAGCTAGCGGAAAGGGGAAGGCAGGATATACTAAGAGCAAGGTTGCCAAAAAGTGGTAGCGGCAGGACAAGACCCTAGGAGGAGGGCCATATTTGAAGGCAACAGAGGTAAACACGGTATACATAATCTCACACTAACCGATTTTAAGTAGATGTGTGAATACATGCACATGCTGCATGGGGTTGGGAAGGAGAGTGGGAGTAGACCCACAAATAAATATTGATTAGATAGAAGATATTTGCATGAGTTTTTACCTTTGTTGTAAATATGTCCTCATACAGGGGGCAAGGTTATAAAAAACTTCTTAACCATAGCCACACACCTTAAGGAAATGAATCCCTGGGCCTGGAAGCTCAGGACCGTGGTCTTGGGGGACACCATGGTTAACTGGCATAACACAGTCCACATAAGCAACTACTTTGGTGAGTAGGGACTGGGGTCTTAAAAGCTCGTGAGTGGCCATCTAAGGTACAATTATTTGTCTCTCCCCAACCAGAGGAAAGAAGAATGATGGAAACTGAAGACACAAGAAAAAATTAGTCCTATGGACTATTGGACCAACCAAGTATCTGTCTCCATGACCTTGAGACCAGAAGAACTAGAGGGCACCCAGCTCCTACTACCATCTGCTCTGAAAGGGATCACATTAGAAGGTCCTGAAGAGTGTGGGGGGAAAAGGCAGAACAAATTTCATATATTAGAAAAACCAGACTTACCGGTCCTGTAGAGCTTGGTGGAACCCCCAGGACTGTGGCCTTCAGTCAAACATCAGCTCCGAAACGGAACCCACGCCCATGGTTCCATATTTAGCCAAACAATCAGCAGGCCTATGACACTAGAGTGACACTCGAGTGGTGTCAATACCTCAATAATCAGCTATTTGGGATCAAAGAGGCAACATTTGCCCAAGGACAAAGTTCAAAGGGTGGAGAAACAGGAAGCACAGGGAGGTAGTAGGGTAAGTGATGCCACATTGAGGGAATTGGCAATAAATGAGATGAAACAAAGTGTATGAATTGTCAGATGTAAAACTGGAACTCTATTCTGTAAACCTTCACCACCCAATTCCAGATGATAAAGAAGAAGAGGCACCAGGAGATGAGCACAATCTTAAGATCTTTGGACTTGTTCAACTCGGGAGACAAAGAGCGGTGACAACAGAGATGGCAGGGAGACAGCAGAGAGATGGCCGAGAAGTAGTGACAACAGATCCAGGAGAGCAGAAGGAAATAGTGCAGTGGGCGTCCAGCCCTCAGAGCAAGAATACCGAGTCCCCTTGGGCAGGAGGCTTGCCCGAGTGGTCCTTCCCAGGCAATTCATCGAGGCTCGCTAACCCACGGAGCTAGAGCTGAGCACCTTCAGACTGAGGCTGACTGGCACAGAGCGCATTTCCAAGCAGTGCTCAACGAGATTTGAAATACTTGCTGGAGCAGGCAGAGGCAGAGGCTCGCGGGCCATATGGCTAGAAGGCCAATAACTAAGAGAGGTCTGCCTGCGGGCATAGCTGAGAGGTGACTCTCCAACCGAAGAGCTGTCTCCTGTTATTTCTGATCCTGAATTCCAGCCTGTTAACTTCTATAATGAAACCCAGGATCGTATGAAATCGATATAACTGAGATGAAACAAGCAGTGTACGAATTATTACATGTAAAACTGAAGATCTGCTCTTTCAACTTTCACCAAGTTCTCAATGAAACATTTAAAACTAAAAAGAGGAAGATACAGGAATGAAGTACAGAATTCTTTAAATTCTGTGTGGCCATTACAACTAATTATCAAGCCTGGCAGGAGAAAGACATGGCTGCATATTCCTGTAGAGCAGCAGTTCTCAACCTGTGGGTCGCAACCCCTTTGGGAGTCGAGCGACCCTTTCACAGGGGTCACCCGATTAACAAGAGTAGCAAAATTACAGTGATGAAGTGGCAATGAAAAGAATTTGATGGTTGGGGAGTCACCACAACATGAGGAACTGTATTAAAGGGTCACGGCTGAGAACCACTGCTGTGGAGTCTGTGAGTGGAGGCTAGAGTCTGTGAGTTCTATGTGCCCAGCAAAGAAAAGAAAATATGGGGGTGGTGGAAATGGTCACTGTTCTAGTGTGAGGTAGGGGAACAGGGCCAGCAGGGGGCACCTTAAGGCATTGCTCCTTACCACTTCGTTTGTCTCTGCAGTCTAGTTCTTACTCCAGGAAGCTGCTAAGAAGCTCCAGTTAGCTCACAGGGCAGTGACCGGAGGATACAGAATTGATGGGAGAATTTGAATCCATGCAGTCTTCTGAATCCTGACTGCCACTGCTTTATCTCAGTCACCACCATCTTTTCTGTCTTGAAATCTGTGTTAGTCTGGGCTGACTAGAGAAACAAATTCATAGACACTCATAAGTGTATAAGAAAGAGTAGTTGCATGTTCAGAAATATCCCAGCCCGGTCCAGATCACGCCCTTAAGTCCGATATTAGCCCACATGTTCAACCAGCTTATAAATTTCTTTTCAGATTCACATAACACGTGCAATGACACAGAATGCAGGGAGATCACAGGCCAGTGGGTGGAAGCATCTCAGCACTGGTGTGGGTCTCCACGTGGCTCCTCCAGCTCCAGGGCTCTAACTCCATCTGGCTTGTCAACAGGAATGCCTTGCAGGGAGAGTGTGTGTTCTGCCTCCAGAGAGGAAAACAGGAGTCCCCAGAATCCTCAGGAGAAGTTCATGCCCACACTGAGGCCTTATTGACTATGACCTGATTGATGGCTAGACTCCACCCCTTTTTGCTTAAGCTGACAGGAGATTATGTAACTGCCACACTATCTTCACGCACAAATTACAGGGCATTTACTAAAGATTAGGGAATAATATGTCAGAGGTCTCATCCCATTTAGAATCACATAGAGGAAAATTAGTCAATGATGAATGTCCTGTGGCTGTTTCAGGTCTCTGGGACTTCCAAGTACCTTTAGGGTAGGAGGCCTTAACTTAAACTAAGGTGATGGTCTTGAGTTAAGCTTCCCTCGCCAGGCATCCTTGCCTAGCAACCTCCTGGCTTATTATCAGTGTTTCAAAACGGGGTAGTCATTGCTGTTGTCAAACCAGGGCTGACTGTGTGTTGCATAGCAACTGCCTTAGTCGTCCACAGTCATCCGACTAAAGCAGAAACAAGCAGCTCTGCTGTGCTCCACGATGGCACTCAACCACTGTGCTCTGAGTGGGCGTTACTCTCCGGTGTCCTGCCAAGGATCGAAAACCCTGCGTCAGGCTCTTGAAACTTTCGCGAGGGAAGACTATGGCTAGCGTGTGGGAGAGCAACATTATTGGCAGGACGCGGTCATACTTGGCACACAGGAAGTGCTCCATAAACATGTTTGGTAATAAAGAGTTGTTTGACAAGAAAATAGAAATATTTGACAACAATAAGAATCCTTGCCAGACTCGCAGGGATTATTATTTTTTTTTAACATGTGACGATTAGGGGATAATATGTCAGTGCTCGCATCCCACTTAGAATCACAGAGAGGAAAATTGGTCAATGCGCATCTTCTTGGCCGTCTTTGTGCTTGGTGGTCCATGTGGCAAGCTTCAGTCTACTCTCCCTGCTTCCCCTCTGCTCTGAGCACAGGTGCACACTTGCCTTGTCTGGAGCTTACTCTGGTTTAAGCAAGAGATGGGAGGATGTGGAGAGAGGGAAAGGAAGAGAGATGGGTGATGGCATTGATGCTCCTGGCTTGGCCCCAGCCTGGCCATTGGCACAAGTCCTCTTTTACCTTATTCTATCACTTAGCCTTTGGATTGCCTGGGATAAACCCTGCATGACAAACTGACAGACAAGTGGTAGAAACATTGGAATGCTCACTTAAATACTAAGCTTAGATAGAATTTGTATGCTGGTTGGTGCCAACTCTGGAAGGGGAAGGGAGGGGGAATGCCTGTCTTTATACATCAGTAAGTAACAAGAGACAGGAGTACTCCCTATAGGCACGACCTGAGTTTGAACTGGGTGCAAACCTCTCTGGGTTGTTCCCTGGCAGAAATGTCTTCCCTGGCTTTTTGGCTGTTGATGGGGGTCTTCTCCCACTGACACATTCTTGGTACTTTTGTTTTTATACTAATGGATCTTATCCTTACCAACGTAGTGTGATTTGTTTTTTCATTGTTTTCTGTGGAATTTCCCAGCTGTGAGGCACAGGAGGAGTGGATGTATAATGCAAATAACTGATAGCATTATGGGGAATGCAGGGGCAACAGGTGGGTGATAGGGAGAGAAAGGGGATTTTGGGAGTAAATAAGGAAGGCGGGAGGAGGGATGGAGCACTAGAAGGGATCATGATTGCGCAACTCATTTTAAAGGCAGTTCAACCATGGGGGTGGGGTGCTCTAAGATAGATTTGGTAGTTATTGTACAATTCCCCTTGATATGATTGAACTATTTAATTATATGATATGTAAATTATGTGCCAATAAAACTGTTGGGGAAAAAGGAGTGTTTCCTTGAAAAGTAACATCCATGTGAAAAGCTCCCTATATTTCATTCATTTTAGGAGAGCTCTCATTGAAAGAAGTGACTTAAATGGAACATACTATGAGGTAATCATTAAGGTGGATATTTCTCAGCCACGAGGAATTGCTGTTCATCCAATGGCCAAGTAGGTATTTCCGAAAATAAGGAAACTTACTGCTGAGTCAGTCAGCACATGATGTTGATAAGTTAGTGTTCAAAATCTGTCAGAGAACTCAGGTGGTCAGGAAATCTGGAAAACGAGGAAATCCATCATATTTGTGTAAATCCTTAGAAATGATGTGGCTACCTTGACCTATGTATCCTTTTAATATCTGTTCTTTTATAAGACTCTTATTGTTTATATACCTTATTTTAAACAGAGGAAATTTCTCTCTTACTAGAGTGAACTGCAATTCGGTAGCACATTCTGTATATGCCCGTTATCTGGAACAAAGTGATCTACTTTCCTTTAAAAAAAATCTGCATCATTTCTCTACTGAGCAGATGGCAATATTTGGATTGCATAATTTTTGGATTCTATTGACAAACCTTTAATGGTAGGCCATTCCTAGATTTAAGCAAGAAGAAACAAATTATAAATATGTTTTTTAATGTGGTGGTTAGAAAATTATTGAGAATCACGGAGTCCCACCTGGTTGTCAAAAACAAGGAGAAAAAAAAAACCAACCCCATTTTATTTGTGATGGAAATTTTACAATGTCTATGGGAACTAATTTTAGGAGTTATTGTTAATTGATTTGGACCTAAGCAAGTGATATATCAGGCTAGTAAAATAGATATTAAGCCATGCCAATGTTAAAAAACAAAACAAATACCCCAGTATATGATTTATGGTGCTTGGAATAGTCAAATTAATGGAGTACTGAGTATAAAGTTGGGTGAGAGATAAATAGGTTCTTCCTTGTACCACGCATTTGCAGATACAGTGAGCTTATTTGTGTCTAAGAGAGTAACAAGTTAGCAAGAGCAGATTGCACCTTGCTGCTTGAAATGGTAATATAGGAAGATGCCATTAAGCACATATTTAATTAATAATGTAGTATAATTTCTCAAGTGAATTATCATTTTTACCATTATATGATTTAATTCTGTATTTTTTACTCAATAGTCTTTCCGTATAAAAGATTCTAATTTTATTTTTAAAAATCATTGCCCAACATGTAATGTGATTCTTTTTTCACCTCTACCCCTTGGTGTGCCACACCTGTTTATCCTGAAATAATTTACATTCCTGTTTCCCATGATGAAAGAATGGAATTTCTCTTTCTTTTTTCTTGGTGTGCAGATTTTATTTGTTGTATGCTTTCTTGATTCAAGGAGATTATTTTGGACTGATGTGGGGATTGATCCACGAATCGAAAGCTCTTCTCTTCAAGGCTCTGACCGGCAGGTTATAGCTCGTTCTGATCTGGTTTGGCCCAGTGGAATAACGATTGACTACTTAACCGATAAGTTGTACTGGTGTGATGCCAAGCGATCAGTTATTGAAATGGCCAACTTAGATGGTTCAAAGCGCCGAAGGCTTACCCAGAGCGACGTAGGTGAGATGTTGGGATGGTAATTTCCTCATCTGGACTGAGTGCTGATGAGTGTTGTGTACTAAATGTGTTGACACCCACCTGTAAGCACACACTTAACTATATAAAGTAAAGAACCAGAGGCAGATAGGCTTCTTCAGAGACTTATGAGCTGTAAGTATTACTTTAGCTTTGGAATGTCATATAAAAATAGTGATACTTACCAATTTCTCCCCCCCCCCCCGCCCTCAAATCAAAATAAATATATTAAACTTGCCTGAGCTCTTTTAGGAGCTAGGCACTTATTTAAAGTCTGATCATTTCTTATATTTTATAAAATGCCATTTCCACATTTTAAAAAGTTAGTAACAAATACATATTTATCATTTACCATGTACAAAGACAAACAAATAAAAAATTCTCCCCTAGTATATTTTTTGAGCCCTGGTGTTATAGTGGTTACTGATTGGGCTACAATCCACAAGGTCAGCAGTTCAAAACCGCCAGCCAAGAATGCAGGAGAAAGACCAGGCTTTCTACTCCCGTAAATAGTTACAGTCAAGGAAACTCATAGGGATAGTTTTACACTGTTCTATAGGGTCACTATGAGTTGACATTGACTTCATGACCGTGCGTTTGAGTGAGTATATTTTCTGTTTATTGAGCCCTGGTGGTGGAGTGGGTTATGAATTGGGCTGTTAACAAGGTTGGCAGCTCAAAACCACCAGAGGCTACACGTGGAAAAGATGAGACTTTCTACTCCTGTAAAGAATTATGGTCTTGGAAACTCATAGGGCACTTCTACTCTGTCATATAAGGTCACTATGAGTCAGAATTGACTTGGTGGCAGTGAATGAGTGATATTTTTAGGTTTGGCATAGGTTGGAATCCATTTTTTAAGTACCACAGAAATAGTACAAATGACTCTGAGTTTACACCAATTTGAGATTCATTTTGACTCAGGGAATCTGCAAAGAAGACAATAATTGAACCTGATCAAAAACAAAAACAAAACCCTAAACTCACTGCCCTCTAGTCAATTCCAGTGCATAACGGCTCCTGGAACAGAGTAGAACTGTCCTGTGTGGTTTCCAAGGCTGTAATCTGTTGGAAGCAGGCTGGTGGATTTGACCTGTCAACTTCTTGGTCAGCAACTGAGTGCTTCAATCACTGCAACCCTAAAGATCCTATGTGGTGACTAGATGGGCATCCAAGGTTATACCTTGAAATAAGGCTTTTCCCAAATTGGGCTTTGTTAGCACTTCCAGGGTAAGTTGGCTGAATTTAACTCTGAAAGTACTGGGGATCCATTGTATGTTCTTGAGCAAGGGTATTGATAAGAATGGCATCTCTGGCTAACCACTTAGATAACAGTGTGAGAGGCTGGACTGAATCTGGAGAGGAAGAAATCAGTTCAGAGGGTGCAGAGGGGATCATGATTGCGCAACTCATTTTAAAGGCAGT